GTTTTTATTTTTATTTAAAAAAACAAAAGTTATTCCTATCTATTAGGTTGTGTTTTTGAGGTTTTTAGAAAAATGATAAAATTTAAATAGTTTTCTCAATTAAATTAAAGAGTTTTTACATAAAGTTTACTTGATTTTGTCACTTTTAAACACAAAAAGTTGGTAAGGCTGTTTTTTACCACTAATGGTAAATTTAAATGTCAAACTATATTAATATATATTTGGATATGTGTGTATAAATATATGTGTATATATATATATATATATATATATATATATATATATATATATATATATATATATATATATATATATATATATATATATATATATATATATATATATATATATATATATACAGTATACACAGTAGGGTGTTTCATATTTTATCAATTTTTAAAATCGAACTCGCGAATCAATTTATAAATTGACCATTTGTATGAAAATAAGTTTGAGCAAAAAAAAATTAAAAAAATTTAAATTTTAGGGTCCCTGCCAGTTCGATTTTGGGCCAAAAATGATGGGTGTTTTAAACGCCTGGCGGGGACCTTGAAATTTATCGAAAATTTTTTTTTATTATTTTAAATGTTATATGTTGGATGGAATATTAATCACATAAATGGAGCATGTTGAAAAAATTAAGAAATTAGTCTACAGATTCTTCTGAAATTGATGAAAAATCCAAATTTTCCTTCTTAAAAATCTATTTTATCACTCAATCACGTATAAAAAACATTTTTGATTTTCTAATAAACTGTTTCCAGACGTGGAAAAATCAATAACCTAGATTTTTTTAATAATAGTGTCAAATTAGGTATATATAGGTCTAAAAAAAATTGTTTCAGAATTCTGAACATATTGTTCTACGTAACCTCTACGTAACCTATATTTTGTCATTTTCCAATAGGCTTTTATATCTTGGTAAGGCGCAGCGTAAGGTAAAGAGGTTTTTAAAAACCAGACGGTATAAAAGATTGAGATAAACTCAGCCGTAGACTGCATTTTGTTCTTTTGATTATCTGTCAATTCATAAGAAAGTTGCAAACTCAATATCTGAATCTTGAGATAATAAATTGGACATAAAACGTGCATGAGACACGCACCCTGGAGCTTGAATTTGAAAATCTCTTTCAGGGCATAAGTACATTAGAGTCAGTTTCAATAACTCCTTGTAGTCTCCTTTGGGAAAAGTGTTTTTTTTTTAGAGCAATCTCGCAATATTTTACAGCATTGAGTCTATGGATTTCTAAGAAAGTGGTAGCTATAGATTGGGTATCATATTTTACAAACTTTGAAGAGTCAATGCTACTTTTAATGTCATTCTAGTTTAATTGGAACCGTTTAAACATTAGGTTTTCTGGAGATTTAGTTTTTCCACTGCACTGTCTTTCACAGAAGTGTTTTAGATGTAACTCATAAACATGCCTCCTGCAAGCCAGCTCTAGTAGAATTGAGTTTTGTTTATGACTAAACCTGACATTTGTACCAGAAAGTCTTCCTGTATTTGTAGCAGTTGTATCAAACCATAAACCTTTCACGTCATCACATTCCATACTCATCCAGTATTTTAACTTAAGCATCGTATTGAGCTTGTCCAGTACCACGATCAATTGCTGGAATGCCAAGGAGCTTCATTTTACCATCAATATTTACCGAGACCGCAAATCGATCTCTTTTTGATTTTATACCTTCTGTGATGTCTTCAATAATTTTTCCATCAAAATGTGCTATTACGGGAAAAGTAGGTAGGTAGCGGTAGCAATTTTTACATTTTTCTTATATTGTTCAGCATTTTCCCGAATAGATTTTTTTTGAGCTCGCCAAATAGTTGAATGAGACACTGAAAAATCAGCCAAATTTCCGCCTGAACTTACGATTAAATCTGTACATACATGCTCTAGATCTCTTGATGAAATATTTTTTGAGAAAATTTGTTTTTTAAAAATTTGATATCAACATAGTATGAAAGTTTATCAAGGCTCGTTTTTTTTAAGATTTCCTTAATATTATCTTTACCAATCCAAAATACCTGCTCCCCCTTCTTTTTGAATTCTTCCCTAGATTTCTCTGCTGCTTTAGAGTCCTTATTCTTACTTTTCTTTAATGTCTCCCAACTATCGATTAAACAAGTAATATTATTCCTGAAAAAATTACGATAATACATTAAATAAAATAGAAATATTAACTTTAAGATGAACCTTATATTTTGTATTATTAAGCTGTAATCCACACGTAATAACAACTAAAAAAAATTAGTTGTAGTGGTACTACAAAAAAACCTTAATCATCTACTAGCTTATTAAGTTCAAATGATACAAATTTATAATAACTATTTTATTATAAATTGAAATTATAAAACTTACCTTATAGATTTATCCGTTAATAATCCATCTTTATAACCTCCGTCTAACCATGGTTTTTTTACTGCAAAAAGAATACAGTTGTTAGGGCAATTGACAAGTCCGGAGCACTTTGCGAATTTATCGGGCCCATCAGTACAACCAATAAACTTTTTGGATGGAGTTAACTTGTTACTAGATCTTTTAAACTGAAAGTTAAGAATTAATTCTTTGTTTGTTGCAAAAGTTATCTGAGTTAAGTTTTCTATCAGGCTTTCTTCTTCAAATAAATAAGCTCTAGCTTTTAGTCATTTTAGTTTTAGCCATTTTGAATATTATTTAAAAAAATATTAGAGCACTTATTATTAGTAACGCAAATTTAGTTTAAATACTTTGTCTTCGCATTGGAAAGTAGTTGTTGAATTTTAAATTATTGTTTAAGTACCTTGGTATATACATTTTCTAAAAATATTTTCTGATCAAATTTCTGGATTTTAAAATTATTGCGCTCTAATGTTTATTAAGTAGGGGCCATTAAGGTTAGTGTGCGGGGTATGTTACTCCATGGATTTAATTATTATTTTTTTTAGACTTAATTTAACACTAATAAAAAAACTATTCAAATTATAGTTTTTTCCGTGTTTGGAAACAGTTTATTAGGAAAAAAAAAGTTTTTTATACGCCACCGAGTAATAAAATAGGTTTTTGTGAAAGAAAATCTGGATTTTTCACCAATTTCAAAATATTCTGTAGACTAATTTCTTTATTTTTTCGACATGCTCCTTTTATGCGATTAACATTCAATCCAACATATAACATTTGAAAATAAAATTAAAAAATTAGATAAATTTAAGGTCCCCGCCAGGTGTTTAAAACACCCGACAATTTTGGCCCAAAATCGAACTGGCAGGGACCCTAAAAATTATTATTATTTTTTTTTTTTCGTTTTGCTCAAATTTATTTTTATACAAATAGTCAATTTATAAATCGATTCGCGAGTTCGATTTCAAAAATTGATAAAATATGAAACACCCTAATATACAGCTATTTACGAAAGTTTAAATGAGGGTATAATTTTAAGAACAAATCTTTGGTTTTTCTTGAATAAAAATGTAACGGAAATAGATATCAAAATAATTTTTCCCCATTCGGTAAATAGGTTTTCTGATCAAAAATAATTTAAAAAAGTAGGTTTCGACTCATAAGTGATCTCTTGGGAATTTGATTAATAGATAGATGTGAGAAATTAATTGGTGTCATAAAAGTTTAAACGAGTTTATTAAAATTCCATTATTTGTTAAGTAATTAATTAATCTGTTGCAAAAATTGTTTTAAAACATAAACATAAGTAGATTGAGTAGTTTTCAGTCAATAAAAATCGTCACAACATTATTCAACAGCTTCATATTCAACAAAAATCAACTGAAATCATTGCAAATTTCAAACAATTTCAAATTGCATGCAAATGGGGCAAAACCCAGTTTCAAGTGAGATCAAATGGCAAATTATTGGTATGTCTAAGTCAAAAATTCACAGCAACGTTCAAATAGGCAAAAAACTTGGTGTTTCTGAATCTTGCGTACAAAAAACAGTCAAAACCTGGAAGCTTACCAAAGACGTCGTTAACATGCCGCTTCCGGGAGACCATCGAAGCTTAGTGACCGTGAAAAAAGTAGCACATTCAGAAGCTGCAGAGAGAATCCTAGGTACAGCTACAAAAAGCTAGCACAAATCTTCAACGAGTCGAAAAATAAACATTATGTAAGAGAGCTCGTTAGGTGAACATTGCTGCAAAAAGGTATTGGAATGTACATTGCAGCAAGAAAACCTTTTTTATCAATCATGGACCGACGTAAACGGCGAATATGGTCAAAAGAAAGATTAAGCTGGACTGTTGAAGACTGGTTAAAAGTTATTTGGAGTGATGAAGCTAATTTTCAAGTTGTAAACCACAAGGGAAGACTATATGTCAAAAGATTTGCAACGGAGAAATGTTCAGAACGGTTTTTGCAACCACGTTGACAAGGCGGTGGAGGTTCCATTGGTATTTGGGGATGTTTTTCTCACAAAGGTATCGGTATGTGTGAGCTGTACGAAGGCCGAATAAATCAGTGCACCTACAAAAATACATTGGAAACGTATTTAATTCCATCAATCAGACAGTTGTATGGTAGAAGCAAGCAATTTATCTTTCAACAAGACGTGGCTCCAGCTCATACAGCTAAATCAATCAAAGAATATTTTTTGCAAAAAAAGATAAATGTGATCCCTTGGTGTCCTAGATCACCAGATCTCAACCCAATTGAAAATATTTGGTCTTGGATTGACAATCAACTTACTTATTACCAAGTACAATCAACTGAGCACTTAAAGCAACTTTTGAATGAGTACTGGTTGAAAACTTTTTTTAAATTTATATAAATCATTTCATAACAAGTTCACATTTATTCTAAACCAAATTACTTTTTATTTAACAAATAAAAATTAAGTCGATATCATTTTTATTTATTTTTTTATTAAGAAAAAAACAAACCTACTTGATCAAAATTACACTCTTGTTTAAACTTTCGTGAATAGCTGTATATATATATATATATATATATATATATATATATATATATATATATATATATATATATATATATATATATATATATTTAGAGTATTCCAAAAGGTTGAAAATAAGCATTTGGTTTTGTTTAAATCTTCTTGGATTAATGATGCAATATCATTTTCAAAATCTTCAATGTTGAGTACCAAAGGCATTGAGAAATATATTTTGCTACCTGAAGACTTGGAGGAGGGTAAAAAAAAATTTTTAAGCAGTGTTTTAAAGGAAATCTTAAGTGTTATTACACTATAATATCTTTTAATGAATTTCTGTAAAGTTTTTAATTTATGTTCAAACTAGTAACACGGTGTTGTAAAGTTTTAAAAGATTTTTATGTTTATTATTTTTTAAGTTATATTTTGCAGAGTTGAAGTTATACTCTGACTTCGAAAAATGGCAGAATCAACATGATACATGCAACAACTACAAAGCTGTGAGAATTTATTTTAAAATTTACTTAAAAAATATGAATTTTAAAACATAATAAACAATAAAAAATTCGCAAAATTAAAAAAATAATTACAAAAAATAGTTAAGTTTTTGACATCACTGCTTTTCCCTTTGTAATTTTAGCTTTTGATTTGACCAAAAATAATGTCAATATTTTGCTTATAATAAATTCAAATGCATGACTTCCATGTTGAGTGCTTATAATAAAACCAAGTGCATGACTGTCATGTTTAAAAACTTTTTAGTTTTGAACTACCCTTACGCTTTAGATTTATACCACAATTTTTTTTATAAGCTTTTCTGTAATTTTCCTAAAAAATAAAAATTTGTTTATTATAAAAATTTCTGTATAATGTTATATAAAAATAATTTTTTAATAACTTTAAATTTACATAAATTTGATAGTTACATATTTAAATATAATTATAATAAATTTTCGATACAATATTGTATTCAGGGGTTATGATATACATACAGGGGTTATGATATACATATAGTTTTGAACTACCCTTACGCTTTAGATTATACCACAATTTTTTTTATAAGCTTTTCTGTAATTTTCCTAAAAAATAAAAATTTGTTTATTATAAAAATTTCTGTATAATGTTGTATAAAAATAATTTTTTAATAACTTTAAATTTTCATAAATTTGATAGTTACATATTTAAATATAATTATAATAAATTTTCGATACAACACTTGTATTCAGGGGTTATGATATACATATAATATAATGATATACAAAAATATTATGGGCCTCAGACATACAAAAAATTTATAGAACTTTGCACAGCTGATCGGAAGGCTCTCTGTACAATAATGTTAGGTTTTTTTTTGATAATCGTTTTTTTTTTTTTTGGAAAAGCTTTTTATATAAGAATACTTTTAAAAGTCTGTTCCAACTGAATCTTTATTGTAACAGGGAATTGCTTGGAGAAAATAATATAAGGTTGTGTTGGTATTAAACATTTGGTCTATAAAACCGTCTGATATGAAAAATTTAGGAACATGTTTAGCTCCATATTTATGATATTTTTAAATGATGAAGATTTCTTACGATAAGTACAAAATTCTTTCATTTATTTCATTGCTCAAACCTTCTAGTTAAATAATGCCATATCATGGTCACACTCTATGAAGCTGTGGGCCCTTATTGGAAAATGTATTTAATTTTCTTGGAATTATTTCTTACTTTAAAGAGTAAAAAATAAATAATAATCCAATTCTTACTTTACCCAGCATACGAATCACAAAAAAGCTGTAAATGTGATACGTTTTTTGTGAAAAGTGAGCACTATTTGATCCTAGTCAGTGTATACTAATTGTGTACCTAGACAGCTGTCTATGATAATAAGTATTGGTAGTAGAAACATTAGGAAAACTCATATTTTTAGCTAAGTCGAATGCAAGAAGCTGCATAAAAATTTTCTCTTGGTTTATTGCTTTTTATATGCTCAATATTTTTATATAAATGCAAGAAACTGCATGAAAATTTTTTCTTGGTTTATTGCTTTTTATAAGCTCACTATTGACACTTGCTTTATAACATCTGTTTTTAGCTGGACTATCAGCAAACTAGAAATTGTTGCTTTTGGTTGTTGACATTAAAACATTTTGACTAATTTATGAAAAATTTTATAATATTAAATTAAATCATATCTTATTCTCCTGGTTTTTAAGGAAGTTTTTTTAACCTGGTTTCATTGTAGATGTCTTAACTCCAGAATCAATATAGTTGCTTGTTGTATAATATTTTTAAACTTATGAATATGAGAACCTTAATGAATAGGACAATTTTTGTGAAATGCTCTTTTTAAGTTGATAAAGTTGTTTATTTTATACATTGAAAATTTTGTAACTTTGATAATAGTTGAAAATTGATAACTTCAAATCTCACACTATGCTCTACTAAAACCTTTAACTCTCACACTATGCTCTACTAAAACAAAAAAATCTGTTTGTTTATTGGTAAAAATAGCAATTTATTCTGCATATGCTTATTGGTAAATAAGCATATGCAGACAAGCAATAAAGGTTGTTTCTACCATTTGTACTCAATAGGAGTGCTATAAGAAATTTTTATTTTAAAAATTAAAATTATTTACAATAATTTTCATTTAAAATAGAATATATAATTTTTTTAAGTAATACAAAATAGTGTAAAGCTTGGATAAAATAATGTGGTGTAAAAGCTTGGATCAGGGTTAGGGTTAGGTTTAGTGTAAAAGCTTGGATAAAATTTAATTAAAATAAGTTAATTATAAGCTTATTAAGTAATTTACTTATTAGATATAAAAAATTAAATTTTATTTATGTTTAACATAGATACAAAAAACACTTATTGTTTCTTTCAAAATACTTGTAATAAAATTTAATATATTAAAGGAAATGTAGAAGATATTAACAGTCAACTTCTCATAATTTACACTCATAGTAACGCTTCTAGCTGTTGCTATTACAATAACCACATCCACCATTGACAAACACTGAATCCAAGCAGGCCCAATAAAATTTTTCCAGTTGCATTTCCGTATTTTCCAAATATTTTGTTGTTATTGGCTGATTAGCATATTTTTTACAGATGACACAATTAAAAATTTTTAACAGTTTTCTGTTTCTTTTACTTCTCTCAAGTCGATTTTTATTTTCTGTTTTTTTTTTTTTTTTTTTTTGTGTTATTTTTATCGGTTTTAATATTTTTTCTCTTTTACTGTCTTTTCTGGAGTTTTAGTTAATACTGTACAATTACCCTTTTATTTTTTAAGAGGTGCTCCAGGGTATAGATGAATGGTTTCTGGGAAAACTATTTTCATTAATAGTTCTGAAGAATCTGCTTGATTTTTTATTTATTTAAATGTCGATTATCTGGTTGCACTAAGATTTCTGAGACATGAATTTTTGGCATAAATTAATAACTTCAATTTAAACACAAAATAACTAATGATTTTTATTTCTCAAGATAGGTAAAATGTTCTAAATGTGTTATAACTAAATTTTATATGGTTAATATATATATATATATATATATATATATATATATATATATATATATATATATATATATATATATACAATACATTTAGTATATATATTTATATATATAATACATTTAGTATATATATTTATATATATATAATACATTTAGTATATATATTTATATATATAATACATTTAGTATATATATTTATATATATAATACATTTAGTATATATATTTATATATATAATACATTCATACATTCATATTTAATAAATTTATATATGTTCAATATATAGATATATTTAATATAAAGTTATATTTTATTCAAATCTATTGTAAAAAAATATCATTACGTGAATTCATATTCAAAAAATCAGTTAAATTTCAACTATATTTTACTATCCAATTAAATGAAATCTAAATAGTTAACAGAAATTAAGTCCTCATCAGCTTCTTTGCTTTCTTTATGATGATTTTGCAAGGTATTGGATGGCATTCCTGTTAGTAAACTAAATACCTCAGAACGAGTAGGGAACTTACAATGATTCTGAGTTCTTCTGTGTAAATTAATACTGCAAATGATAGGATCTGAGATATCTAAGACTCTATGAAAAATATCTTCATTGACACTAGCAAAAGATGGACATAAGAATAATTTTAAATTATTATTATATATATAAGAATAAGACTAATAATTTTAAATTATTATTATATATATAAGAATAGTTTTGAATTATTATTAAATTTAGTTTAAATTTAACTGATTTTTTTAATCAAGCCTTTATTCACATTTGTTATTTTGGAAAAAATTTTAACATTTTTAAATGCACGGCGAGCTGTATTGCTTTTGTTAGTACTTCCAAAACCTCCTACTTTTGATTTATTCACGTAAAAGTGTAAATTTTCAAAGAACCGATGTTGTTTTTCTTTTTTTACATAAAACAATTTTCTTATTATTAGCACTAAGAATTTGCTATTTACACAAATTATATCTATATGATATGTGGACGATGAATTCAAAAAACTGTATCTAAGCATATAGTAGGCTTCAATTATTCTGTCATGATAAATTCCTGCAATTTAACAAATCATTAGAAGTATCTCCTCATATCGAACAAGCTTGGTTTTGTTCATTGGAATTTGTTCCAGTTAATATAATCAAAATATTTTTATCAACTTGCCTCATAAATAAAGTAATGATTTAAATTTTTTTTATTAATAAACAAAAATAAATGTTATTAGCTCTAACTTATCTACCTGTCTGTAAATATAGTGTTTTTTACTCAAAACTGCATAGATTGAGAAGTGTAATTGCTCCATAAGATCTTACTATTTTCTGAGTTCAAACTATTACAGATATATCATTTGTTCTTCATGTCAATTCACATTTCAAAATCACTTTGTAATCAGGATACAAATTATAATTTTAATAACAGCTCCTTGTCTGATGCTTTGATATTATTGTTAAATTAGAATCCAAAATTAATTCTAATGCTTCTTCCGCTGTATACAGTACTGTTTCTTTTTTGGTGAAAATAAAGTTTTTTTTAATTTTTGTTGACCTTTTATAGATAGACTTTTATTTGATTCTTTTAGAACCAATACTAAATTATGTGTCTTTTGCTGATGCGCCAAACCTGCTGCTTGCAATATAGGTGATGTTTCGTGCGAACTATTTCAACATAACTCTGATGCTTATAATCTTATTTTTTGTTGTATGATAAGCTTGGTTGTCTAGAAGATCATGATGGAATTGACTGACTAAAAGATATTGTTGGAGTTGCATCATCTTTTTTTTAACTAATATATTGCATTTCTCTTTTTAACTAATATGAATTTTAACTTTTAAATTGGTCCATTGTTCTTTAACTATCAAAGAATAATGGACCAATTAAAAAAAAATTAAGCAATGTTTTTTATGTAAAGAAAATGAATATTCTTTATTAAACAAAGTTTGCAAGTTTTAGTTTTATTTAAGCTAAATTATTTTATAAAAGTTAATTTTTTTAATACCTATTTTATGTTTTGCGTAGTTTGAAAAGTTTAACATATTTGAAGCAATTCTTCTTAGTAAGATAAACAAATAAAATAATTAAATCATTGAATTACTATAGAAATTAAATTAACAAGATAGAAATCAGCTAAAAAGGTTAAAAATATGACGAGGAAGCGAAACTGCCTCACAATATCGCTGATAATGTTTAGTGAGTGGGCTTTTTTAATTAGTAATTAAACCAGAAAAAAGTGTAACAAGTTTTGTTACACTTTTGTAAAAAGTGTAACAAGTTTTGGCAACTGAAGCGAAATTAATTAGAGTTAGTTAACCAATATCTAGAAACTTTTCTTTATATCTAATTATTTGCTATATATAATTGTGTTCTGTCGTGACCTCAGGCGCGGTGCTTGTTCATCCGCGAGTTACTTTTTATGCGTTATTTGTGTTTAGTAACTAGAAACTTCTTATATGTTTGTTACATAGTTAGTTTTATTAACTTTAACGATTATAACTTTATTGAAAGCGCAATTATTTTTGTAAGTCTTTGTTTAAATCATAAAAATTGCTTTAAAAAATACATTACGATAAAAAACAGATCAACAAAACTACATTTACATAAAGAATACATACTTTTTAAATAAAAATTAAGAATGTACTAATAAAATATATAATTTATAATAAACTTTTAAAATTTTGACAATTTAATTAATATATATTTAAAACATTTATTTTTGTAAAAATTTTAAGCAATTAATATATATTCTTAAAACGATTTATGCTAGAAATCTGAAAACGCTACAAATTGTGAATAATATAATTTCTAAAACATTTCAATAGAATGCTCTAAAACTTTATTTCGCTTAGTCAGCGTATTTTTTTAACCAGTAGAATTTTTACTCTTTCGCACCAAGATGTTTTAAAAACATTCAAGTTTTTTATGTTTCCATGTATGTCCGTAAAACAAAATTTTTTTGTTTTGTAAATAAACTTTAATGTTCTCAAAACGACTAAAAAACCTGGCCAGTTTTTTGCAACTAAATATAATTTCCGTAGTCAGTATTCGAGAGCGGTTTTCGTAGTGATAATTTTGGATGATGCATCAAAACTGTCCATCCTTTGCTCTCCTATGATTTTAATTAGGTGCTATCAATCAGGTCTATTTTTGAAATTGAATGCAGCAATATACTAGCTAACTGCCTAGTTTGTAAATCTTGTTAAACCATAGCACTTATGAGGTCATATGCAAATGTTTTACAATAGTATTTTTATCAGAAGCACGACAAAATTTTCTATTTCTTATGTTTGCAATGCATTTAAAGTTTTCTTGCAACTTAGATATCTTGCCATTTTTACAGCTCCTACTTACTGTACCTTACAGCTCCTACCTACTGTAGATTTTAATAAATTTTTTTTTTAGCTGCATCTTGAATTGACATATCCTTAAGATCAATTTTGATTGCATCTTCAACATCTTAAGAATTTTATTGTACTCATAAAAAGGATTTAAAATTTCATAAAAATCAACCATATGCAAATTTCACAGGACGTTTGTATAATATGATCAAAGTATGTACACATTAGTGTGTATGTAGTGTGTATAAAATACTATTACAAGCACAAAAGTAAATCAATTTAATATGTATTATAAGCATTTTGAGTCCTGGTTTTTATCTACAGCAATAATTTTATTATTGTCTGCATAAAGTTTGCATTTATTATTAATTAAAATCAAGAGAAAATAAAGAGAAAAATAATGTCCCAAGAACCTTGTGAAACACCTTTAGCCAATCTGATTTTGTATCTCCAATTGTAACTCATTGTTTTCTATTTGATAAATATGCTTCTATCTGACTTAATAGTTTTTTTTCTATTCCATAACTACATAATTATGATATCAATCTCTTACAAGGCATTCTGTCAAATACTTTTTAAAAATCAGTATAAAAACTAAATTGTTCATCATTAGTTGGTATGTTATAAAATCTAAGGATTCCAATACATTTGTAATACAGTTTTTACCTTTTAAAAAACAATGTTGATTGCAAAAAAGATTATTTTTATTTTTAAATAATTTTTGTATTACCTAAAAAATTTTCTAATACTTTGCTAGACACAGATGTCATAGATACTTGTCAATAATTTATTGCAAGTTTTTAACTTTCATTTTTATGGGAATCCATAAATTTTTAATGGAAAATGGGAATCACATTAGCCATTTTCCAGATTTCACAAATATCACTATTTGTTAAACTTTGTTAATAAATAATTGACATTGGTGTTGAAAAACTTTCTGAGCAGATTTTTAACACAAATTTTTTCATCGCTTTTTGATTTTTAGCACTTTATTTTTTTCGGATTTACTTCCTCATACCGACTAGAATTATTAATGTCCAATTTTGACAAATATGATTTTCACAAGTGTTTGATCAGATATTTTTCTAAACCTTCTGTTTATTTGTATTTCGAAGATACAACCATTTGCTCTATCCTCTTTTATGTAAACAGAATGAAAATGCTTGTTCAAAATATCAACAATACTAGGTTTGCCATTGATGAACAATTGGCAACAATACTAAGTTTGTCATACACTGATGAACCATTAAGTGTTAAGTGCTTCCATATGATTTTTCAATTTTTTGCATGTATGAATATAATAATTTGGGTTCATCACTCACTATATAGTAAATTGGGTTCACCGCCCTCTTTTTTACCATTCAGTCTATCCTATCTGTATATTACATAATATTACATATCAGCATCTGATAAAAGTGTATACCATGTTCCAGTAACAGCAAAAACATCCTTTTGCTGTTACTGGAACATAGTATACACTTTTATCAGATGATATACACTTTTATCAGAGAGAAAGAGAGAGAGAAAGAGTGGTTGGCGTTATAATTTAATTAACAAAATTAATTTAAACTCTAAATTATACAAAATTTAGTTCAAATTTATAAAGTTAACTTTTATTTGATTTGCATTTTATAAGTTTCTTAATTTCCATGAATTTGTTTGTTTTTACCTTACAGTTCAAACTGATTTTAAAATATTTTATGTAGGTTTATTGCTTGTTATTAATTTTAAAATTTAAGATGTTTTATGTAGGTTTATTGCTTTCACTATAATGTGACATTTAAATAGCTTAGTTATTTTTATTTTATGTATAATATAAAAGCCTTTTTTTTTTATTGTTTTCAATGAATCTTTCATATCTTATGGGTATTGCCATTTTAATGTAAAGACATTTAATTTGTAAATTATGTATTTATGAAACCTAAATGAAATTATCTCATTATATTTTGTAATTTTGATATCTAAATGCATGAAAAAAAGCATGAGTTGGTACAAGAATAACATCCAAGGTTTGCAAGCTTCTCCTATCTCTACCCACATTTAAATCGGGGGTTTTATGACAGAGTTTTTTTTTTCTTGGGTAAGTTACCTTCACCGTCAGGGTTCACCACAGCAAAATTACCTGCTCGTACCTATATATGTAATAGTTTTATTAATATAAATTAAATTTAAAAAAAATATTTTTATTAACTATTTTTTTTTGAAAAAAAATAGGAGTTAGCTAGAAGAACATTGTTAACCGCAGTATCAAGTCAGTCAAACAAAGCAGGATCTGTAATTAATTTAGAATCAACTCAGTCAAATAAATCAGGATCTGAAATTAATTGCAAATCAACTCAGTCAAACAAAGCAGAAACTTTAATTAATTACAAAACAAGTGAAAAAGGTCAAAATTTTGACTTAAAGCAACAAATAAAACCAAGTCATGATTTGTTTGATGATTCTAATGCTGACCATTCCAAAAGGAAAAAAATATGTAAAAATGTTCTAAACCCACTAGAAGGGAGTAGTGAATTGGTTTACCAACCATCGAAAGAGCTTTTATCTCCATCAAGAAAGTTCTTGCCGGCTAAAGATTTCATTCAAGATGGATTCAACCAATCAGTTTTACTTTTTAACAGAGCTTCTCCAACTAAATCAACATATAATTTAAGACATTTTAAAAGTTCCAACGACATGATGAAAGATTCACAGGATAAAAGCAATATATCGAAAGAACCTAATAAAATTAGTTGTTTAAAAGAAACATTGCCACAATCAAAAATATTAACTCCAAGTGTTTTATTGACTCCTATAAAACTCAGTGATCAAAAAAATTTAATTTTCTCCTTGAATAAGTCTGAAAGCAGCCCAAAAAATAAAAAAACAAAGTTAAAAGCATCAGAAGTTATTTCAACAGATCTTAATGTTTCACCATCAGATTCCATGAAACTCACAAGTTTAAGAATGCAGCCAAAACGAACTCGAAAAAGTATTAATTATGATGAAACATCAGAAGTTATTTCAACAAATCTCAATGTTTCCCCATCTGATTCCATGAAACTCACAAGTTTAAGAATGCAGCCAAAGCGAACTCGAAAAAGTATTAATTATGATGAGGCATCAGATGAAGATATGAATCATGATACTAGCCATAAAGAAGATTCTTCTGAGGAAGAAAGAGGTAAAGTATTTTTGATTCTTTTTAATAGAATTACAAGATTTGTTTAAAGATATGATAATTGTGATATTGCTGTAAAAGTTAAAACATTAAAAGTAATGCTTGGTGTATTTAAGGTGATAAACAAATTATTCGAATTCTTTTATTTGAAATTAGCATAACTTTTTCAGAGTATTATGTCCAGTTAGGAGCTTTAGACGTTATAATTTTTTTTTCTTCAGATTTTTTTAATATTTAAAGAAACTTTTCTTTTTTTTATATAATTTTCAAAAGCTTTTTACTACCCCTAGTAGTGAATCTAAAAAACACCATTTTGGAGTCTTTATATCATTTTCACTCATCGGCATTAATATGAACTTAGTTAAGATCTTTTGAAAAAGTGCCTTAACCCACTATAGATTCAAGCTCTAATTGGTTCTGACGTATATTAACTATATATAGTTGTCAAAATACAATATTTCTAACGATTTTCACAAAAAAATGATAAAATTTCCAGCAAGAAAGAGCTTTCCGAGAAAAAAATTGCCAATAAACAATCAGAACAGATCATATTATTAAACTATGATGTTAGATTTAACTAAAAAACATGTTTGTTTAAAATCTTATTCAAATGAGGACAAACGTTTGTGATTTTAAGAAGATTTTCTTTTTAAAAAAAAAAGAATTTTTGATCTGGGTTTTTTTGTTACAAACATTTATATTTTATGATACCGCATAATTTATAATTTAATTTTTTTTGTCTTTTTATAATTCACACACCTGATCATTTAACGGAAATATGTTGTAGTCGACAAAATATCATACAGTTGCTCTAATATTTTAAAATTGACTACACCGAATGTATAAAAGTATAAATAAATACTTGTAATTAGTTTTAAATGTTATTTGCCGTTTTTTTTTCAGAATTTTCTAATAAAAAAAGAAAACGAAAGCTCTACAAGCACAATCAGCATCTTGTTGATGAGATTTTAACTCCTGTAACTGTTAATTTGAAACCAATAGTCCACATCTCTCCTACAGATATCAACAACACTTTGAATTTAAACAAAAATGTGAATCAAGTAAAAGAAGTTAATGTAATATTTTAAACTATTTATTATATTTCTTTCAAATTTTGCATTAATTATTGTATTTTTTTTATTTTTATTTGTTTACATCTTTATATTATTTTATATTATGTTTTTAGCAATTTTTGTATAAATATAGTCTATATTTATACATATAACTCTAATAGAGTGTAATGCACTCTATTAGATTTACAGCGTTATTCTAACCAAAATGTGGTGTAATGGGCCAATATTTTGAGTTGACAATCTTTTTAGTTTATAAATTCGAATAAACAATTAAATAACTTTTTTTTTAGGGACAGAATAAATTTAATTTGAAAACAGTTTCATTAAAAATGTTCATGAGCTTTGAATGTAGGGAAATTTTAAGAATTGGGCAATTTTAAGAATTGTGAATTGTAAATATACAAATTATGAACTGTGACTGTTTGTTAGGCACTTATATCAATTAATAAAATATTTTAAATAAACTTAAAAGTTAGGGTGAATTCTTAAAGGGTTTTTTTTAATCAATATTTTTTTTTTTTTTTTTTTCTCAAAGCAGTTTTAAATAGACTTTGCTTCCAAACAAAAATGGCATTTTTTACAAAAGGTTTAAGATCTATATAGTTATATTTTTTGTTATTTTTTAAAAGTCGTTTTTATGAAAATGACTTCTAAAATATATTTTACTGTTGGTTTCTTGTATTTTCATGCCTTACTCCTTAATTTAAAAAAGTTCCTTAATTTAAGAAAATTTCTATTTGGATTAAAAAAGTTCATTAAACAAGTATCACTCTTTAAATAAGTATCTTACATGCAATTGATTATTTTTGTTTTAAAAATATTCATTATGTCAATAAATTTAATCAACTAGTTAAACTTTTATGTTATTTTTTCTTATCATAAAGCTATAAAATGTACTTCTAAAAGTTTTCTAGAAAACTTCTTCTGTAAGTACTGTAGAAGGCAAGTTTTAATAAATGCATGCCACTCTTTTGTTTGCAAAAGAAAAACTTGTTTTCATCATATTTTATAAAGAATTTTAAAATAAATACTGGTTTTTAAAAATGTCCAATACTTATACAACAACCTATTAAATAATTTATGTTGTAGTAGGCAATTCCTAATTAAATTAAAAATCTAATAGTAGGTATTTATTGTTTTATGTGTAAGTAGTCATGATTATTTATGTTGTTTATACTATAATAAGCTATAATAACTTAGGATATTAAAATTACAATAAATCGATTATTTATTTTTCGCGAAAGCTTTTTCAACTTTATTGTGTAAAAATTTTGAATAAACGCATTTATAATTTTATGAACAGAAATCTCCTCATCAATCTTCATCTAAAGATACAGATAGAGATCATCAAAAAACTGCTGATGTTATGAAGGAACATATTAAGACAATGAAACATAAACGTTTAGGAGTTAACAATGTTGATGATTTTATAATTGGTTCCTTTGCAGGTCACTTTTTAAATTGTTTATAATTGTCTAAATTATTATTAATTATTTGTTCATTAATACGTTAATAAGTTTGCACTTACAATATCCATTGATAAACTTTCTTTTATCGTTTTTACAAAAATTCTTTGTATACAATGTTATTAGAAAAACTCTAGTTTAAAAGGCTCTTATTTGTAACTCGTTTGAAATGTTTTTTGATTAGTCCTTGTTTGTAATTTTTTTTTATAAATAATGGTTTACAAGTAACGAAAATGTGTATATATACAGGATTCAATCATATTGACGATCTCGATATCCCACTTTTATCATTGGAGGATTTTATTGTAAACAAATGTGGCTGTCGAGTTACATTGCGTGAATTGAATGTTTGATCTTCGTAAATAAAAATCATAAATAAACGTAATATTTACAAGACTTATTGTAAATATTATTCAATTTGTATATAGTAAATATCGAAATAAAGGTTTTTTTGTTTAATATATATTTGTGTTTTAAACATTTACATAAATATTTATATGTTGAGGTATTTTTTATGTTTCAATAAATTTTCTCTTTGTCATTTTAAAGTTGTTTCTTAAATTTAAAATGTTTGACATTTTAAACTCTCATTTACTGTCTTGACATTCTGGAAATTTGTTACACTTTGAAACGTCATTTAGTTTGAATTTTTGTTTTTATTTACCTTCAAATTATTGATTATTAAATGCTTCAGTTTATTATGTAAATTTAGAGTGAAATTATTTACACCTAAAATAAAAGAGTTATAAATTGTTTTATTTTTTTTTTTTTTTTCTTTTATAAAAATTGTATTTCTTTTTTTTAGCTTAAATTTAGCTAAATAATATGCTTGAGTATTTTATTATTTCATCTAAGGCCAGCGCGAAGGGGGGTGTGAAACATCCCCCCTTTGCGCCGATTGGGGTATATTTCACATTACCAACTACTTAGTCGATATTGGTCTTTTAGGCAAATGTTGACTAGGCAGCCGGCAAATTTCAAAGACAAAGAATTTTAAACAACTAATATCAAATTTTATGAGGATAGAAACAATTATTTACGAATGGAAACAACAGAATCTTCTTTGGTTTGGAGCCGTTATTTGATACTTGGTTTAACGGGGGGAAATAAATCTTTCGCGTTAATTTAAATAATAAGTTATAAATAAGATAATTATAAAAAGACCAATAGAATGAAGTATAACCTTGCTCATAAACCATTGGCCTTGCAACCTTGCTCATAAACCATAAATTAGAGCTCAGTTGTTTGTTTTTTTTATAATATCCTGTTTATTTAAATTAAAAAAATTCAACGTTTTCAATATTTTATTAGTTCTAAATAATAAAAATCATGTTAACTTTTTTATTGACTTTTTTTTTTTTGTTAAAATTTGTTTTGTATGTCTAGTTATATGTAACTTAATAACATCTGCTGTATTATTTTAACTTTATATATCGGTCAAATGTTAAGGCTCGCTGCTTAATTTTGTAGATTAATGTAATATATTAATGATTTTCATCGATAGTTTTGACTTAATTTATATCACCATATACTAACTGTAAATTTTTTTGTTTTGAAATGGTAATAATAAAAACACGAATAAGTTTAATAATAAAAAAGTTACACAAATGAGCGGAGAAACTCTAAAATCACGGTCGAGAATCTCTGAAAAAACAATCTATTTTTCTTCGAAACCAAAGACTATCTTGCATAATAGCTGTTAAGGTGGTACAACACCAAATAAATAAAAAAATGAAATAAACCTCCAAAATAAAAATGCTTTTAAATACAGTTTGCTCAAATGATTTAAATAAAAAAAAGCAAAAAAAAATTTTTTTTTAATTAGCATTAGGACCATAATGGCGGAAAAACTATTAAAAAATGCGTTTTTGGACTTGATTTCAAAACATAATATCTAAGGCTAGCCATCATTATTTGACCTGAAATTTTGTACACTTACTCTAAACACTATTTTATTCCATTTAACAGATAGATTTTTTAAATATCAAAGTAAATGATGAGTTATGTAGTTTTTCCTCATATTTTATTTATTTTTTGACGTTTTAGAGAGATCTGACTAAAAAAAAAAAAAATTACTGATCATAAAAAAAAATCCATCTGTTAAATGAATTTTATAGGTATTTCGAGCAAGTACTAAAAATTTCAGATCAAATGAACAATGCTATCTCAAGAAACTGTGTTTTGAAGTTTAAGCAAAAATAAAAAAACGCGAACTGAGATAAACAGCATTGAAAAATTCTTGATATAATATTTACAATATTAATTTAAAATCTTCCTGAAACATAACTGTCATTACATTCTTTTGCTTTCTCCTCATCTAGGTGACCTTTTTTAATAGCTCTAAGAGTTTTTCTTCTTTTTTTTCCCTTCTCTGATGACTTGCACCTCATTTGACTAATCCTTTTTTTATTTTTAGAAGTCGCTAAAATATTTGATACCTTACCATGTAAACCAAAATGTCTAAAAACACTAATAACACCCTTTGCACCATCATTGTATGCTAAAATAGCTAAATACGTTCCCATTTCCAGTGTTGATTTAGAAACAAAAACTCTTTTTGGTACACGAGCCCAAATAAGTCCATTAAGTGCCTCGTTAGCATTTTGTGTGTTTCCATGTAAACATTTTGATAACAATTCATCTGATTGTAAATTTATAATTATTGGTAGAATTAAATCTTTTATCCACAGAGGTATGGTAGATTTGGGTTTATAATTCTTTTGATTTAGAGCCTAGTATTTGCACCAACTATATTTTCCACGAGGACAAAACTGGTGGCGTGTGTAGGAATCAGGAAAATTGGTGAAATGGAAAAGTATGGCATAAACTGCTTTTTTCATTGAATACAAGTTTCCCACATTAGATCTGATTGCAAGACCATAAAAATTTTGCATTGAATTAATGCAGTTTTCAGTGAGTTTACCTCTGCCTGATATTGGTTTTTTAGTACCTTTTTGGGCTTTGACAAGGTTTCGTAGACGTGTTCCTAACCGTTTTTGAACATGTCCAACACATTCCAGTTTTACAGGCATAATACCATACTCTTTGTAAGGATCTGCTTCTATTACACCATTAAAAGAAGATGTATCCCTATCTCCTAGATATTCTTTATATATCAACTTATTTTTTTGTAAAGATCTCTTAAACATAGCCACAGCTCCTACAGATTCCATACTAACCGATGAACCCTTGTGATTCGATTCACACTGGTGATCAACCAACCAACACTGATACTCTGGAGTTCCTTTTTTAGATCTCCACATTTTACATCCATTGCAATGTTTGGTAAATATCTCTGCATCAATACATTTATCACTACAAACAGCAGTTACAACACCATTCAACGAATTATGACCTCGCTTTTGCCATGAACCATCAATAGAAATTCTAACTTCTTTCATTTCAAGAGAGTTGTTTATTGATTTGGTTTCAAAAGCAGCTTTTTGCATACTTTCCTCAGCAGCAGTTTTGTATACTAACATGGCAGTTTTATTTAACTTATTAAAGCCATTAGGCGACAAACAATAAAGATTCATACAGAAGGAAAAAGTTTTCATCGACTCATGGCTAGCACTTATTTCTCGCAATCCGATGACAGCTCGCAGGTTGATCTCATATGGTGATTCCAGAGCTAAAAGTTCTTTTTTATAAATAGGAATTACAGTATCAATAGAAAACTCATTTGTGTTTAAAGAATTCTTTGACTTTGGTGAAGTTCTAAAATTTTTAGAAAAGTTACACTTTGTACACTTCATCTCAAGTAAATGACAAAAGCCCATGCGAGAATTAACGTTAACTTTGATTAACAAATTTCCAATAAAGCAATTGGGGCAAACAGTGTGTGCAATTAATTTCTTTAACAATAAAAAGTTAATAAGTATAAAATAGTTGTCAGAGTCACATTTATCCGAGCTGAACGATACATCTAACTTTCTTGAGCTAACACAAGAAATCTCATGATCTGCAGGTTTTGATTTAAGAATATCAGATGGTTTAAACCCATTCCATTTTCTGCTCTTCTTTCTAGTACTATTTTGTTTATTTGGCATTTCTTTTAAATATATTTATATAATATATATATAATATAAATCCAAAGGGTAAACAAACAATAACACTCCAAATCTTTCAAATCTGTTAGCTGTTACAAAACGTGTTTAGTGGTTAAGAACAATGACTTTTAATTGAATTTCAATTCCGAAAACATAGAAGTGACATCAAGCTTACAAAGCTTGAAGACTCCAGTAAAATTGAGCTTATTTTTAGGGAGAAATTGCCCTAACAATCATGCTAAATATTTAGTATCTCCGTTGCTAAGGAAAAAAAGATACACAGTTTTCTAATAAAATGCTCATATCTAAAGAAAGATAAATTATTTAGCTCTGAAACTTTGGCTAAACGTTCTTTGATTAATTTGACACATATTTTATGCAAAATTGAAAAACTCAAAATATTTTTTAGTTTTCTAGTTTTTTTGGTGTTGTACCACCTTAAGTTAAATATCGCATATTAGTTGTTGCTCGTAGCAAAGTTATATAAAAACAAAAATAAATTTATACTAAAACAGGTGACATTAAGGATCGGCGACGATCTGGTCGGTCAACTATAACAACACAAAAAAATTAACGGTTATTAATTCGCTTGATAAAACATGACAGAAAACCATAATCAAATGCTCTCTTCCGTAAATTGAATAATACTTCGGGAATTAATGTTAGGGCAAGAACTTTTTGAAGAATTTTTTATAGAAATAGTTATATGTGGCGATCTGAATGCAAGAAAGACTTTCAAAAAACAGCAAAAAGCAAGGATTGTCTGGTGTAATCAACATTAATATTGGTCAAAAGTGGCGAATTATTATATTCTCAGACAAAATAAATGTAAAGTTAGGTATGCAAAAAATGTCGTGTTATGCTACGGTGATGACCTCAAGAAAGATTTGATTCGAATTGCACATTAAAACGAACCAAATAATGTAGTAACAGTGTAGGCATTGGGCTCTGCATGAATTATGATGCTACCAGTTATTTAAAGGTTGACTTAATGCTGATAAATATATTGAAATTTTAGATAATTGACTTATTTATAGAATATTTAAGAAGGAATAGCGATATATCAACGAAGTGCTGCAATGTGATTCAAAAATAAATAAAAAAAAATTCATTTTAGTTTACAATTTGATTTATTTTAAATTAATATTTTATTTTAAAAAATGAGCTTTAACTGATTGCCAACGGTGTAGGAATTCTAATAGTCTCGTGTAAAACAATCATATGCTGAACTTTTATATAAATGCGTTAAAGTCTTTAATTAATTTTAAACTATCTAATTTTTTTTTTCTAAAAGAGTTAACAGAAAATTTAAAACTTTTAGAAATTTTAAAACTAATATCAATAGTTTTTTAAAGTAATACGATTAACATAAAGAATACAATTTTTGAAATTGTAACAATTCCAATAATATTAGAGGGGACCAAA